TGGGCAGCTGAAGAGAAGTCGTCTATCTTATGGCCAACCTCTGGGTGTATCTTGGTATTATTACCAGGCAAAACCCAGTATGCAGGTTCATCTGTAACAGTCCTTGTGCCACGGATCAACACTGTTCCGTCTACTTTAGACAGAAGAGCAGCGACGTGGGTGCAGGTCTCTGCGACTCCGGCCATACAGGTGCAGCGGGCGGCTTCAACCTTCCCTGTGATGCTCACAGTGACCCATGGCTGCAATGCTGGTTCATTCAGTCTTAGAGTGCAGCACCTGAAACACACACAGACAAAGTTCATTTAAAGACAAGAACTATGAGCCAAGGCTGACACAAATGTGTTTAATCTACTTTATCATAAATGTAACAAAGTGTCAAGAAAGTTAGCACATACATATAATTTTTCATTTCTTTATGTGTCCATCTATAGAACGCTGCATGTTATAGTCTAAATCTGTCTGTTCTGTCAGAAACCTGCCTGCAGAAAATGAACCTAAAGTATGTAATGCAAGGATGTCATCACTTTAGAGATGGAGAAAGCATAAAGTGACAATTATGAATCACTTAATATGTTAAGGAGATTCTGCAGGTCATTAATCAAAGTATAAAACTAAAATAAAATGTATTTTTAGTGACACAAGATACAAATATGGAAGCAAGATGTATAATTAGAATTATTTATAATAAACATTAATAAATCATTGCAATTTCTTTAACCATAGAGAATAACTAAATCCTTCAGGACAGTGTCTCATCAATGCACTGAACTCACTATGTTATCCACCTAACAGTCTCCACATGTTCTCACTGTAATTTCCCCTCATGAATGAATTTATGCTGCAGTAATCGGAATGTTTGCAGGGAAATCAAACGCATTTCACTCGCTGTACTCGAGCTGACTTACCTTTGATTGAATGACGACTTGTACGCGCTGACTCCACAGATAAGGTATGAAATATATCAGGCTACGTCAATAGCGGTTGGTCTTCAGGGTTTCTACTCCACGGCCGTATTTCATACGGGTCCACATTTCCAATGCACGCTATTTTCTGCAAGTACCGCCGCTTCGCCTCTGGACGCAATCGGTCTCTATACAGTCCATTCTCTTTTAAGCTGCTTTTAAGCATCTTGTAATCGTCGTTCCAACACAGTGTGTTTGATTTGATTCGTAGACCCCGAAAATGCCGCCGCGCTCCCACAATGCATTGCGGCGTGACGTCAACTCCGAAGCCCTATTATTCGTATGGTACAGTACGGAGCCCCGCAAGGGACATGGGAGAAAAAAATGAGAAGAACTTTTGCGAGCGCTCGCAAAAGTTACTCGGGATCTTGCAAAAGTTTTGCGAGCGTCCGCAAAAGATCCTGCTACTTTTTGATGGCGGTTCTGTTGAAGGGTGCGGTACGGTACGGAGCAGAAATGGAGGAGGATTTAGAACATTTCCTGCGGTCAAGAGAGGTCCCACAAGAGGACATCATACACATGCATCAAGACAAAGTACGTATAAAATTCCGTAAGTCAAAGAACAAGACAGCATAAAACACCGGGGTTGAGAAGGCGAGTAACTTGTTGAAAAACACTTGTTGTATATGCAAGCCTTTAATGTTAACTCTTGTAAATATGTTCAGGTTAATTAACATAACTGGTTAAGTGCACATATGTTTTGAAATTTCATAAAGTTATCTGGCTGTGCCGTTACCATGGTAACGTGGACGCCACTGTAATACATCCTTTTACTCTTGTAAGTGAGACATGTAGGCTGAAAATAAAGAGGTGTATCTTTTTTCAATGTCTTAAAATCTATTGACATATTTTGTAGACTTTTTAAGAACATTCATGATTTTTAATAGGCTAAGGTAAAAGATTGAAGAAGAGTCTCATGAACTTGAAGGGTTAATGTGTCTGCTGTCAATTACTGCAGTACTTGCACAAATAAATTTCAAACATATTCAGAACATTGATATTTTAGAATCTGTATAATTCATTTACATTTCTTATGGAAAGTGCATGTTTTTTCTTGTACCCAGGACCATGGACTGAATATCATCGCACAAGGTTTGCCTTTAGATTCAAGCAACCAACTTTCCCCATCAAATTCAGGAGATCCACAGAGCCCCCTACGTGTATCAATTGGCAGGATAAAGGTTGTTGATGATCTTTTGACTGTATTTATGGACAGTAGCATAATGAATGTGACTTTAAAGTTGAACTTTGTAAATGAAAATGCTGTTGATGACGCTGGGGTGTCAAGGGAGGTTTACACTGCATTTTGGGAGCAATTTTTGGAACAGTGTGAAGGTGAAACTGAACGAGTTCCAAGGCTGAGGCCAGACTTTTGTGAGGCTAAAAGGCAAGCAGTTGGGCAGATATGGGTGAAAAGGCTTACTAGATCATGGTGTCTTTCCTGTGAGGCTGTCAAAAGGCATCAGTTGATGTAGACATTCTGATTACCGTACATCGTTTCTCAACTATCTCCCTCCTGTTGAGAGATCAGCTGTTGAGAAAGTTCTAAAAGGCACATTGGATGAAAATGATGAAGAGGACCTGCTTCACCTTTTCTACAAGGATGGGTTCCCACTTCCCATCACCTAAGAACAACATGCATCCTGCCATTGAAACAATGGCTCATAAGGCCATTCTCCAAGAGCCAAAGTATATAATGGATTGCTTCTCCACACCCATGGCACGTCTGCAGCTGAAACTGTCAGACATGGAAAGTGTGTTGTCTCTGTATGAGACAAAGAAGGCCACAGGCAAAAGAGTAGTGCAGCTATTTGAAACAACAAAATTGATACTGTCTCAGGGAGAACAGACAACCTTTAACCATCTTCAGCGTTATGTCAAAAACACTGATGAACCAAAGCTGAAAAAATCCTGCACTTCTGCACAGGATCTTCTGTGATCTGTGTTGACAAAATTTGTGTGTGCTTTAATGCTGAAACTGAGCTCAACAGAAGGCCTGTTGCTCATACCTGTGGAGCTACCCTTGAAGTGCCATTTACTTACAGTTCTTATCCTGAATTTTGTACCGGGTTCGACAATGTCCTTTCCAGCAATTACTTTGAAATGGACATCATTTGAACTTGATGTGTGTACTAATGGTTACAGCTGTAATTGTTATATGTATGATTATCCTTGAGTTCATAAATTCTGTCTTTTTTTTTTTATTTATCATTGAAGCATTTGATACATTCAGCCGTATAGTGAGCAGTCATCAATTTAATTTTCCGATGGTTTAGCTGTATGTTACCTCAGATTTCACAAGGACTTTTCATTGTTTAAAATGCTTTGAAAATGACTTTTCCTCTGCTAATGTGTTTCCTCTTTTTTGATAAATGAGTGCAAATAAAAGCAGCTCCAGTTATTCAGATATTTTAAGATAAAATAAATAAAATAAATGTTTTAACTGTTCTCAATTTTCTTCCATGGTCCATATTTTTTAGTCCATCCATCTCTTAAACGTTAATGTTGATTCAGAACAAAACCCTTACTTTAGCTTGATGCTGAGAAACTGAACTTTTTAACATGGGGTTCTATGAGGGCTGGCTGGCTTTTGAATCCAGCACACCAGAGCCTGACCAGAAACTGGTCGCTCCTGATATGGGCGTCACTTATGGCTGCCGAAATAGCATTTGAGCTTCTGATGAGGTCACGCATGAGGCGTTTTCATAATAAGACACGAAACGAATGCTGAATAAAATTTGAAATGTTTCTGCTGAGCTATTTAACAAGTCAGCAGCGCCGCTGTGTGGCCAAATGAGCGTACTGCATCAAAAATCAAACGAGACGCTGAAAATGAGAGACGTGGATAGTTTTCCATTGTTTCTAATGCAGGACGCTTCGCACAACATCACGCACACAGACAAAATTCTTTTAAAATAAATTATGTTAAAACGTTGAATTATGTTAATCAATGATGCGACAAAGTAAAAATACTCCATTACTGTACTCATGTAGAGTTACAGTATTCGAGAATTCTCCTGAGAGCTTTGGTTTTACACCAAACATCTGAAGTCAAACGTCTCCACTGCAGTGCCTTGCGGTCAGCAGCGGATCAATTCCCATGACAAAGTGGTCAAGATTCTACAGAGCATCCTGGTATTACCTCACCCTGTGAGGATTTTAATATGTCAGATTATATTCTTTTTTTTTTTATACATTTGTCAACAGAACACAAGTTTCCACTGAAATCACAGAAAACATACCTGACAGAATCCTTTGGTTGTTCCATATCCACCTGCACAGGAAACACCGGCAGGAAGACCAGGCCAGTGTTTCTTACAGACCTTTGGTTCAATGGCAGACACGTCCACCACCGTCGGCTCATCAACAGGTTCGCCATCAGTTTCAGTTTTTCCCCATCCAGCCACCTGACACACTTGATTTTCTTTTAGGTTTATTTCAGCACGTGGAGGCTGAATTGTTTGTACTCTGTGAACTAATCGAACGTTCACACACAACTGGAGATACAACATGAAGTAAAAAATAGAAACACATTTTCATGTAAAAACTCTTTTAAAAATATAATTATTCTACAAATACATCACATGAAACTGATGCTGCTTTCAATGATGTCATTAGCATGTTCAGTGTTTTTGTATCCTTCATGGATTTCATTTTCTCTCAATCTTTACTTTGGGATGATCAGTGTGTGCGGTCACTGTGTGAGTAATCATTGAGAGGGAATTAAAAATGTCAACAATTTTAAACTGATATCTTTATTTCTCATTAGGCAATCGTCACAAGCAGGTTAATGTCAGCATTGCTGTAACCAACGGCTGTCAGAAGTCAAAGGTCATTTTTATTTGATGCTATTGCACTTAATTGTGTTTTATTTTCCCTCGAAATAACATCTGCCTTATCAATAACTTAGAGTGATCTGATCAATAAACACAAGTTTGAAAAAGTTTGTTTTTGGATAAACTTCATGAACAGGAAATCTAACTCACAACCGGTCACAAAATTGATTGATTGATCACACTTTATTCATCCCGAGGGAAATTGGCTTAAGGCTGCCAGCCGTGCCAGCTAGATGTTGCTTATTTTCAGTGTTGCACCAAGATCCACAGAAAACCCGGGATAGAGGGGCTCGGTGAAGGTTGTCTGGATTTGGTGCAGCAGTGTCAAACTTTCAACTCCAGATACGCTGTAAAAAGCCAGCGTTCCCTCTTCATAATTAAGGTGTACCCCTACTTTGTGGGAGACAGCCGGAGGAATTTGACCTTTGTGAAGATTATTGTGCCAGAATGTGCAACCAGAAGGAGAGCAGATTAATTTCCAGGACAGAGCATTGTGGCCAAAACAGCAATCTTTCCCTGAACCCTTTCTATCTATCCCTCTGTACGACACAGCCACCTCAACTATGCCACCATCCCACTCCACCTCCCAGTAGTGGTTTCCTCTGAGGCCCTTTTTACACAAAGCCTGGTAAAAGTATGTGAATCTGTCAGGGTGATCTGGATGAGCCTGGTCCTTGTCACACCATGATATCTCTTTCTTTGTATCAGAGAGGTAAAGACAAGCTGCTACAGTGTCAGGATCCACCTCGATTTTGGAGTCTGCAGGGAAAATGAAAAACTCATTGATTACGAAGGACTCGCTTAAGCTCTCAAATATGTCTGTAGTCATTAACATCATGCTTACTCTTATATTTCATCACAAGTTCTGTCCTTGTCCGTCCCTCCTGCGGCCTTGTCCTTCTTGACACTTGTAAGGAAAAACACAAAAAGCATAGTTTTTAAGTAAATAACATGAGACCACAGTTATGATGTTTAAAAATCTCAAATGATCCCAGATGATCACACTTACTGATGATTTTTCCAGAATAATCCGTCAGATCCCTTTTTTCTTCGTCGCTCATCTTTTTCATTTTATTCTTTTGTGCAGTGACGAACTTTGTCAAGTTGTCAAGCTCTCTGTGTGAGTCTGTGAGCACAGGGAGGTCACCCAGGGTTTGGAAGCCCTGCACAGGGAAACATTAATATTAATATTTAACCTCACAAACTGGATACAAAATGAGACATAAGCCTAAAGTATCAAAAAGCAGCCATAACCTGAAGAAACTGAATGGGATCCTCTGTTTGTGAAAGCTGACAGATTTTACTCTCTCTCCTCCTTAACTCAGACACTTCACGCTTCAGCTGCCCGAGGTGGTGTTCGGTCCAGTCTACTCCAGCTTTCTCAGCCTCTCCAACTTTCTCTCTCATCTCAGAGCACTTCTTCCTCAGGAAGTGGGTGTACAGCAGGATACGTTCCTCACAGACCCGCTCAAAGTCATCACACACCTCCCAGGCAGCGTCCTGTAGGAAAAATGTACTATTTGCCTGCTATGACTGTTACAATAGTGATCCAAGCCAACTAAACAAGTCACACTCAATCACTGACTGAATTGCTGACTTGTAAACTCTCACACCAATCTGGTGCTCAGCATCTTGGCTTAGGACACGTAGTAGTTAATACTCCTATTAATTTTAAATACTGTTTGTTGTTTTGTTTTTTTTACATTAAATGAATGATTGATTCTAAGCCAGGTTTGTTCACCCCTGCCACTGAGTCCCAAACATGAATCTTGTATTACTCTAACAGTTCCACTAACCTTTTGAAATAATGTCAACAGAGCACTGACTCACAGCTGTCATCGCACTGGCTGAAAACAAATGATTTCCCCCCCCCTTAGCTGCACTGCTAATTTTTAAGGTTTACATACTTTTTCCACTCAAAATGATATAAAACTTATTACTTATTATGTATTTAAAAACACAAAAAAATCCTTTGCTGAACCAAACAAATGCATATTTATGTTTGGGGATAACACTCACTCTTATAGAGCCTGCAGCTTCCATCAGCTTTTCCATTTTGGCCTCTGAAGCCAGCACTCTGTCTGTGATTACCCATTTGGTCTTTTCCAGGTGCCTCTGTTAAACAAATGCAGAAACTTTTCAGGACCTCATAAATGCCGTGCAACAAATGTTTACAATATGGGACTAAACTGACTAACCTGCATCTCTTGCTTTTCTTCTGTGACGGATATAGTGTTATGGCCTTTGTGTTCATCCACCGCACACATGAGGCACAGGAACTGCCGATCGGTGCGGCAGTAAAGCTCCTGAAGTTTGTCATGACGACTGCAGATGCTTTCTTTGATCCTCGTAGAAGCTTTTACTAGTTTGTGCTTTTGTAGCGGTGGCACCTGAAAATGAGGTTCCAGGTGAGCCTCACAGTAAGAGGCTAAACACACCTGACAAAACATGTGAGCTTTGCGTTTCCTCCCTGTGCAAAGGTCGCACTGCACATCCCCAGGTGCAGCATAGATGTTATCATCAGAAGCTACGGTAGGAGCAGCTCCTTGTCTGGTTGTTTTCTTATGTTCCTCTAACAAGTTAGCCAGAATGGTGTTCCTCTTCAAAACAGGCCTTCTGTTAAAAGTCTGCCTGCACTGAGGGCAGCTGTAAGTTTCTTTACTGTCATGTTTTGTATCCCAGAAAGTATTGATACATTTCATACAGTAGCTGTGTCCACAAGTAGTAGTCACTGGATCCTCCAATAATCCCAAACATACGGAGCAGTCAAATAGGTCCACAGCGTGAGCCATTTTCTTCCTCCACAAGAGAAGTTACTTTCTATTTCTCTGAGGAAGGAGTGGCTTAAAGGCAGCTTGTTCCTAGTGGGAGGGCACTCAAGACCTCATTGACAGCACAATAAATGCCCGCTATTCTGATTTAAAGAATAACTGCATTAACTGGAAGTAAGTGAAAGTATTTGTGTGAAAGTATCAGCCTTTCATCAAATGCAGTCATGACCTGTTACCTAGATTCAAAGCTATTTCTCTTTCAGAAAAAAATGCCATTTTGATACAGGTCAGTAAAACAACCCCTGCTTTCCTTTTGGCTATTTTGAAAAAAGTAATTTGCTAAGTTAGAGTTTATTCTTCACGTTCTGGCCAAACCACAGGGCGCTAGTAGATATACATGATTTAGTGAGCTGCAAAACCTTTTTTAAAGCAATTAAATAAGTTTATTTCCTTTTTGTTATTTTGGTTCTTATGTTGGCAGAATTTGGTTTCACTTTTGAGTTTGTAACATTAACCTCCTAAGACCTGAACTCTTCCACGGCATGCATTTTTAGTTTCTCTTTGATATTTGGACATATTCGGCCCGATGAATGTAAAAACAAAGAATTACCAGATTTTTTTTTTTTTACTTTATTTTTGTTTTTAAGAAAAATAAGAGCCACATATGAGCATATTCATTTAAAATTTTGATAGAACAGTAGCAGTATAATGTCCTTGTAAGTGGATATCAGGCCCTTGTAAAGCAAAATTGAGTATTTTGGTCTAAATAACCCAAATGTTAATTAATTTGTAAATTCTGTAGTTGTCATGGTCCCCGTGCCTGCCCAGCCGGCCTCACAAGGCTACACTTGTGTTTTTTTCTTTTTCTCTTTCTCCCCCTATCTCTCTGCCTGCGGAGCTCACAGCTGGCTCCCGCCCTTGGCTCTCACAGCTGTTGGCGATCAGCTGATTATCCGTCTTCTATTTGAGGCTGGGTCACAGATCCTCTCATCGCGGGATGATTGCGCTACTGACGTCAGTCTACCTTTCCAGCTCCCGTGGTCTTATACCTTTACGCCCTGCCTTCGTGATTTGTGAGTGATTTCTCCCTTTCCCTGTTCCAGCTTATCTTCCCGGACCTGTGACCTCCCCGCGGTACGAACGTGTGTGAGGACGTGAGCGAGCGTGAGAGAGAGAGAGCCTTCCCCTAATCCCCTGGAACCCTGAATTTCCCGTCACTGTATATATTATTGCACGGGTGTGTAAATAAATCGTGTTCTGAGACATCAACCTGCTCTGCGCTTGAGTCCCTGCTTTCAGCCCGTGACAGAAGTAAACTGTAAATTGTAAATATTGTAAAACTTTTCTGTCATTTAATGGTCGGGCATTGTACAGCAAGCATTTCACCCCCATGTCATACTGTGTATGGTTGTGTGTGTGTGACAAATAAAATTTGAATTTGCAATGTGATGTCCACATATGTGGACGCCAGGTCCTAAGAGGTTAAATAATATACAAATTAGAGATGGCACGATACCACTTTTTTATGTCCGATACCGATATCATAAATTTGGATATCTGCCGATACCGATATGAATCCGATAGTGTTTTTTAATCAACAAAACTGTTTTTTAAATATCTTGCTGCATTTTGCAAGTCTGCAAGTTCATACTCAAGTTTAAAACAACAACTACACTAAAGCTATTCTGTTATACCTGTATACAAAAAAAATATTTCATAGTTCAGCAATACTGATCAATCTAATAAACTTAGACCTACACCATCCTCCCTATTCTGGTATTTTAAAGAGTACTTAGCGTAAATATTAAGCAACCTAACTAATAGGGTTCCAACTCCCAGCAACAACAAACATAAATAAATAAAAAATAAGGAACCACCCCTCACGCGCCACCTCATGATGCTTAATCGACGTAATCAACCTTAATTTGATGCAGTGTGAAAAAAAATGCACAGAAATCAATTATTTTTCAAGAAATATTAAATAGATTCAACATCTTTCTTCAACAAAATTGCAGACTGCACAGATGGTACCTTCCCAAAGTAAAAAGTACTATAGCTTACTAGGGTATATATTAGACTTAATAGTCACTATATACAGTAATTGACTTCTATTCATTTTACATCAAATTAAAACTTTGGGTGTCAGATAATTATTTATTAAAAGCTCGACATTTTAAATGAGAATAAGAAAGAAAAGTATGTCTTTATGCCCCCTTTTCCCTGTTCATGCCCTATCGGCCCCCCTGGCTAAACTTTGCTAGATCCGCCCCTGCACAGTTACCAGCGTCAGCTACGTAGAAAAAGATCCTGGTGTAGAAAGTAATAATAAATACATTCTAACAATAGCTGATCAAGCTTAAACGTGCTGCTGTTGTTCAGCCGCTGGTTTCCTCTTTCTGGTGCAAAGTGGGCCAAAAACAAACAAGAGAGACTCACGACAGAAAAGCCGATCAGCTGATCATTTAAGCAGTTTCACGATTGAAGTAGCAGCCGGAGAGCGAGAGGCAGTCACTTGTTAAGCTTAACGTGGGAATGCTTTACAAACATTCAGAGATGGACTTACACACTTGCTTTACTTCTCTCGGGGATAACTTTGTCGGAGATGAAATGCCAGGTTGCTAGCGAAGCTCCACATGCTATCCAGACCACCGACAGGTCCCGCATGCCACAGCCGCTCTATCACGTGATGCATACTGCTCCGACTGCTAACGTTCTGAGGTGAGTTACGGCGTGTTGCAAGTTTTGCGAGGTGCTTTCGTGATATTTAATGGATCGGATTACATTTTTTATTTTTCTCCGATATCCGATCCAGTAATTTAGGTCAGTATCGGACCGATACCGATACGTAATATCGGATCGGTCCATCTCTAATACAAATAAAATCCTCTATGGTAGTTGGGATAGGCTGGAACCTATCCCAGCTATCATATGGTGAGAGGTGGACGGGTCGCCAGACAGGCAACCATTCGCAGTCACCCTTATGGGTAATTTAGAATTACCGATTAACCTAAACCCCTCTAATTGCCTGTCTTTGGACTGTGGGAGAAAGCAAGAGTACCCAGAGAACATGACAACTCCACACAAAAAGGTCCTGGCCAGATGGTGGAGTCAAACTTGGGATCTTCTTGCTATAAGGCAACAGTGCTAACCACTGTGCACCATAAAAATAATAATAACAGCGTCTTAAAATGCAGTTCTATGGATCTGTATTTGCAAGATTACACTTAGAAATGAGTCTTTTGAGAAGAAGAATTCCACTTTTATTGACATAATTAAACAGTCACATAATGGTTTAAGAATTCTCAGCATTGACATTTCTGTAGAGGATTTTCTCTATGAATATATTAGTGCATGTTTATGTAACTGCACCCTCTTGAACACTGTATACACACAACAGACCTCTGTGCACAAACACACTTGCCAAATAAATTCAGTTCAGTAAATGTTAGCCTAATGTCTTTAGCCTCACAAACAAAAATATTTTAAACAAGGACGCTTTAGCTATAATGAGCAAGAGTCAACAGACTGTATTATTATACTTAAGAGTACTTTGTGAATAGTGATAAACATGTACTGATACACCTGATGTAATTCTGGTGCTTCTGATGTCGCTTTACTCTGGTGTGATTATCCTAACTGAGGCTCCTCTGGAGACCATGAACCCAGGGTACAGAGGCTGGGAGAATGTGGTCTGAACTCTGTGAACGAGCACCATTTGACCAGAATCAGACACGCTGTAGAACGACAGGCTCCCTCCCTTGTGGTTCAAATACACTCCCACTGTAGAGGAACAGGGGACGGGTATTCTAGTTTTGACTTCATTGTGCCAAAAAGCGCAACAGGAACTAGAAAGAGAAATGCACCAGGACTGGTCGGTGTAGCCGAAGCCACTTTCTTCCAGCTCTGTTCCTTTATAGCACAGGGCTATCTCAACCCGTGGCCCTTTCCATTCAACCTCCCAGTAGCAAACACCAGATAAACCCTCAGTGCACAACACTTGATCATATTTGGTAAATCTATCTGGGTGGTAAGGGTACCTCTGGGTTTTTTTAGCCCAGGTTACTTTGGTGTTTCCATCAGAGAGCAACAGGTTTTCAAATGCTGTGTTGGGATCCAATGTTATGCAGCAGGAATCTGAAAAGTACAATGTCAGGAAATATTAACTCAGTGAAATCAAAGTAACGGAAAGCACAGAAACTGAATAAAAATATGTACACTAAACAAATGACTCACACATAGAAAACTCCTCTCTTGTCTTGGGATCAGGATCAACTTCAACTAAAAGTACAAAACATGATATTATTGAAAGTAGCACTTCCTGTTCTATTTAATTAAAAATGATTAGCATGATTTTACTAAGCATTATTTTAGCTAACTTCTCATCTTACTTGTCTCAGATATTTGTGCAATGCTCTTGGCCACGCTTTCCATTTTGTCTCTCAAGTCAGAAATAGCTTTTGTGACAAAGTCGAAAGGTGTGTGCAGTTGGATGTTCACATCAGAAGACAGATCAGGTTCTGTACAGTCAAAAATGGTCTGGCAGTGCTGTAAACATGCAAAACAATAAACACATCATTAACTGCTGCCCTGCACACAATATGATCCACGTATTTGACTGTTTGCGCACCTGCAGGAAATTAATGTGATCTTCAGTGAGCGACAGCTGCTTCAGTTGGTCCTCTCGCTTCCTCAGCTCACTGATTTCCTTCTCCAGCCGATCCACAAGCTCCCCAGCGCGACTCAACGCGGCCTTCTCCTGATCTCTGATCAGATCGTTCACGGCATAGCGCCTTTTGTCTGCCTTCAGAACAATCTCAGCATAGGCTTTCTCATTTTGAGCAACTGCTGCATCACTTGAAGCCTGAGCAGTAAAAAATTCCATTTAACATCTCACAGTTGTTGGTTTAAGGGCTTAATTTAATTAATTTTATTTAATTTCTAGACAACTTCATAATTTTATCTTGTTAAGAATTTACATGACGTTTTGGAAGTGGCAAATTTATTCTTGATTACACTTTTTTTCCTTTGAGGTAACAAAAAACCTTCACGAGAATAGGACAAGAGGACATAAAGGAACAATGCTGGTTACTTTGCAGAAACAGATTTTTAAGGAAAACTTTACATAACACAGATTCAAAACTTCACCTTCAGTCCTTTAGTTTTCTGTCTTAGTTGCCGGAGCTGCTTCTCTTTTTCTTGAATGCCTTGCTGGATTATTTGTTTCTTCTTTCCAAGTTGTTTCTAAAAGCCATCATTACAAAATCATCAAAGTTTAAATTACAGAAATACAGCTGAATATAAAAAATCCCTTAAAACCCTATGACTGCTATAACAGAAGCTCTAGCAGTAACTTTAAATTGAAATTCACAACAGCATGGATGATGGTTGGAAGTCTACAACTATATTATTACCTGCTTATCTTTTCTCTCTGCTGCAGCCGAGACAGTGTCATGGCCTTTATGTTCGTCCATCACACAAAGGAGACAAACGCACTGCCCATCACTGCGACAGTAGCAGATCTTCTCTTGTATGGAAGCTGACACTTCGACCAACTTGTGCCTCTTAAACGCAGCAGACTTATAGTGAGGTTGCAAGTGAGTGGCACAGTAAGATGCCAGACATACCAGGCAAGACTTAACAGCTTTCAGCTTCCTCACAGTGCAGAAATCACACTCCACATCCCCTGGTCTAGCTTCATCCTTTACTCGCATGTTGGATTGTGCTCTCACAGACATTTTTACCATCAAATCAACCAGCACTGTGTTTTTCTTGAGGACGGGTCTTGGGTTGAAAGTGTGTCTGCACTGTGGGCAGCTGTAAATACCACTCTGATCCTCCTGGTCGAAGCAGCCATTTATACAGTCCATACAGTAGCTGTGGCCACAGTGAAGAGTCACGGGATTCTTCAAAACATCCAGGCATATGGAGCAGGAGAAGGAATGTAGTACTTCACAGCTCTCGGCCATCTTCGTTCCACATCTGTAACTTTCACTTTCAATGGAAACAAAAGTACAAGTGATTTAATAGTCTGTCCAAACACGTCCAAAAATCTAAAGCTAATGTAGCTCCACCTATAAATCTGCAGAGCTACTTTTCGATTATTATTATTATTTTTTTTAAATGTTAGACATTTTTTCTCAAATATAAAGTTCATTATTAATATTTATTTATAAATTATTTATTTACTTACTTACTTACCACTGTGGTATATTAATATATTGTAGGCAGATGCGCTATTTAATAAAAGCACTAAGAGGAAAGGTGTCTGGTTAAATACAAAGAACATATTCCATGCGAGATTTAAACACAGAACGCGAGATTTCCCTGGTAGCCATGGAAACGACAACGGCGTTCAGTTTCTCAGTGAGGAAGAGGCGGAGTGGTTTTCCTCTTGTAATGTTTTTATTTAGCGGACCATGGAGCTCCCGGAGACACTTAGAAAACATTTAGAGGACTTTTCTCGCAACGTTTTGTTTGACCAGAGTCGGACGGAGTCTTCCTCTAAAGACCGCGACGCGTTTTTGGCACACGGTGAATGCAGCTAACGTTACTGATGAATTAGCATTGGTGTTAGCATTGATGTAGCTGCACTAATGGCTGTTGTTTACTCAAACTAAGCTTTCCAGTAGTTTATTTGCACTTAGGTTGCTTATTCGGTTCGTGTATGTTCTGCTGTTTGTATTTGTTTTCAGACAATCGAGTTCTTTCAAGCCTCCAGCTCCAGATGTCTCTGTACTTTAACATGTGGTTCTTCCCCTGGTGGTGGATCAGTGAAACTGTAATGCTGCAGCTTAAGGTATTATGCCAACATAATTCTGGTTTACAATCTTGACCCTTTCCACTCTTATTTAGATTGTTATGCACCCTTCTGTGGTATGCTGGATTTCAGCATCAGGGGTCCACCCTGTAAAGGTCGCCAGTGTGTCACTGGACTAACAAAGAAAGACAGACAACCATTCACAGCTACAGTCGATTTAGATTCAATAAATAACCTAACCTCACTAGCTGCATGTGTTTTGACTGTTGGTAGTACCCAGAGAGAACCCACACAAACACAGGGGGATCATGCAAAGTCCACACAGGACCTTCTTCCTGTGAACCAACAATGCTAACTACTCTACCATCTGCTGCATAGTTTCCTGGCCATGGATCCAAAGTGTGAATTTGATGGTCACTTAGTTATTACTTTTTCCCTTGTGACATGGTGCTCCATCCTGTCATGCTGGAAACTCCACAGGTGCCTGAAGGTCTCCCAGGTTAACATGTCGAATGTTTTCTGCAACCTACCCTGTGCCCGAGGTGCTAAATTAAAGCCCCTAAGTTACACAAATGTTTGTGGGATACAATGAACGTGGGCACAAATTAAAGGGAATGAAGCTGCAGTAAATCCTGGAAAACTTTCAACTGGGTGCTCAGATTTTGTTTTAGTGTTTTTTGTTAATTATTTGTGAGCACCACATGAAATATGTAGCTCACCACTGAAACATAAATAGTTACTGGACAAAACAGCAACTGAAATAACAGTAAATACCAATTTTAAAGGTTATTGAGACAAAAAGGAGAATACATGATAGCAAGAAGACTATCGTGTATCAAAAATTACAAACCTTGGCTTCCTTTTATACTCAGTGTAGTTATTTAGCAAAAATCACATTCAGTTAAAAATATGTTAAATGTATTTGACCTTTTAGTAGTACCGTGTGCCACGTTTTCACGGGTTTTTTTTCTTTCAAAAACAGACTTTGTCCCAGTGTGTTAGGAACTGTAATCTTACCAATAAAAACATTCCAAAATACACAAGTGGTTATGAAGAGGAGCAGAAAAAAAAATCACATCATACGTTTAAAAGCAAGGATGTGGAAGAATGAACAAGATTTAACATTTGAGACACATTTGGCACTTTGCAAAATTTTTATATTTCAGTTGCTTTAAAGTCAACACATAAATATTTTTTGAGTGTTTTCAGCTGGACATAAAATCCCAAAACAGTAATATCTGACTTTTTTCGATACTTATTATTTTAAAAAATTAAATCTGAAAATGCAACAGGAAATTTGCTTGAGTTTATCTCAGAGTGTAGCATTTAAAAAAAAAAAACATTACAAAGTGGATACAAGTTTTAGTGTTAGACTATAAACTGTGTTGTTTGGCTTGTTATTTCCACCAGTATCCTGCTTTGTCAGACTACTACAAAATCATCCTTGTTACTATTCTTATCCTGATGACGCTGATCGAGGCTATTCGACTCTACCTTGGTTATGCCGGGAACTTGCAGCAAAAGGTGCATTTATACATTCACATATGAAATAAGGATATTTGTATAATTATATGTAAAGAAACCCAGTGAGTGGACGGCAGAGATGAAAACTTGTCAAATGACTGTATTTGTTGAAGGTCCCAGAGCTGGCTGGATTTTGGCTCTTGAGCGTCCTGCTGCAGTTTCCATTAATCCTGTTTCAGCTCTTTAATGAAGCCATCCTTGTTCAGCCCCTGGAGAGAGGTGTTCACATCATCCTTGCCTTATTCATACTCACACAGGTATGGTAAGTTGCATTATCAACATTTTCAGAATTTCGTAGCTACATTTATTAACACGGATTGTATCCCTGAATGCTCCCAGGCCATTTCTGGTTTTGTTGCGCTCCGCGACATGGTCAGACACACAGAAAGCCAATTTCATCTGCAACAGTTTGACTGACTTCTCACACTCTGACGTCCACATCTGGGCAAAACCTCTGCTCACATCTCCAGGGTCACAGGCTAACAACAAGAAACTGTCACATTTTGTCTTAGACATGCTGCACGGGGTAGCTGCTACTCAAGATCCGTTATTGAAAATAGGGGATTTTTAACATATATTTTTTGTATTTTATTAACATTTATTTTATTAATATGTTTTCACATTTTGCATTAAAAAACATGAACATGATGTGAATCCTTTGTCGTTTGTTAGAAAGAGCCAAAGATGAAGATTTTTCAGCCATAAATCAGGTCTTTATCAGGGCCATTAACATTAAGCAAAAAGGAAAAAAAGTGATTAAATTCAGAGTCAATTTATTTATTTCATGTTTAATAAGAGGCATTTTTAACTATTCCTGGAGTTTTCCCTTCCCTCTGATCCATACTGAGTATTTTTTTTCTAGGGTGTCTTTTGTAAACAACTGTTGAAGTAAAAAAGAAAAAAAATTCCATCACTGACCAGTGAATAAATTAAGTGTGTACTTCTCAGATTAGAGGTTTTCGCTTGTGCAAGGCTGACTGTGATGTCCTTTTGACCATTACTTCTTGTGGAGTCACAGTTGTATGGCTTTCTTCTCCAAAGTGATAGAGCCTAATGTCCTTAGCCTGAAGCACGCTGACTGTGTCACTCTGTGGACGTGGAAGTTGCTCTCTCATGGGGGATGAAGGTAAAATACCCCTGTGTCTTTTGTCGTTGCTTTTTCTGAGGAAATTGAAAAAGGAGAGACCAGGGTTTAAATGAACAATGCTTGTATTATTATCATAATATTTAACAGAAATAATAAATCACAGAATTAAGAGGATAATGGAGAAGTTCACCTTATTCCTGTTAGGTCCCTAAGCACAGGCACAAAAAATCTGCATGAATCGGGTTCCTTCAGGGAGGTGTCACGAGTATGAGCTTTCAGGTCCTGAACATCATGTCTGAACAGTGATGAATCCACTGAATAAAGTCAAAGTAAAGTAAGTAACAGTGATGGAGCTATTTCATGAAAATTTATCACAATAATAACTAACTACAAACTGACTAGTCTTAATATAACAAATGTGCAACCCAACCTTCTGAGGAATTGTCTTCTTCCCTTTTATACCATTTGGTCTCGGTCATTTCTGTGCGTGAGGTCTCTTTTGCATCAACGTAATGTGAGAGCCATGAAGAGCTGTCTCTAAAAATGTGCCGGCCACTGAATTTGTTGTTGTTGAAACTTGTCAGTAGATGCCTTCTTGGAATTATTTCTGGAGACATATTCACATAGGTGAATTTGGGAGATCTGTCACAAAAGAGACACAACATTTCTCAATCTTTAGTTCTGTTTAATGATAAAGATATAATAAGATTGTGAGGTTTACCCGTGGGCTGATGTAAGCAAAGGTGGCAGCCCTGAAAGGGGAAGACAAGTTTCACTACAGAGGAGCGACAATTTGATACAAACTTGAATTGACTGACTTTTTAACATTAGTAATAATATAATTAAGTTCCACCTGAAAGAAGTGTACAGACAGACAAACCTTTGTAGAATTTGTAGGGGGTAAAAGGCTGGCGGTGGCAGTGATGTTGATGCTGGCTGGACTTTATGATTTTTGATGACGGTGGAATGAGAGCCCTGAGGTTCAGTGGGGGAGAGGAGTGTCCCGGCCGTCCTGTCTCCATGTCCGGATCACCTGTAAAGTAAGTCAAGCAAGAGCTCCACATTAGTTTGGAAATATTCTGACCTTTACCTGCAGACTGAATCTCCAAAATAAACCTTACCTTTGTGGGGTGAAGCACCGGTGTATTTGCTGTGAAGTGGGCGTGGTTCTGGACTGTAACGTAGATCTGAGTTTTCCTGATTACAAATTTGAAATGAAAGATTATGGTCTGCTCCAGGTATTGCAAGACATCTGCAGATTCTCTGTGAATTATTAGTGCTTACAAAAGGCAGGTTTATGGTTGATGCATAAGGCTTCAAATAAATGACCTTCACATGATCACCTTTACATGCTTGCAGCCCTGCCACAGCCTCACCTGACTGACCTCACCATGGTGAGTGATTGTAGGACCTTTTCTCATCAGAGTGTTTACCTTAACAAAGGAGGAAACAGTAAGGATCAGTAAATGTCTTCATCTGTTCACCAGCCTCAATATTGTAGTGTAGCTGGTGTTACTGTGAAGACCACAAACACGTTTGGATGCTGTTTCATACGTGAGGTTTCTTCCTGTGGCGTTCAGCAGGCCTCTTTTGGACGC